GTATACTACCTACCTCTCTCTCTCTCTCTCTCTCTCTCTCTAAACGAGTCGAGTTTTATCCATCTCTTTCTACATTACTCTTTTTCCATTTTTCCTTCTCGTTACCTCTCGACTCGAGATTATCCTATTTACTCGTTCTTACCTTTCGATTTCTCTTTCGCTCTTACTTTTTCTTTTTGTTTTTTCTACAAAACGTTACACTTGCACTTTCTTCGGCATGTCGAAACGCTCCTCGCCTGCAAATTACTCGTCTCTTTAGCACTTGCACTTTCCTCGCCGTGTCATCGAGAACCTTCACTTTCTCTGTTCTCGCACCTTCCACGAAGAGAACCACCTATTTTTCGTATTCCCCTTTGATCCGCGAACTTTGATCTTGCACGCTAACTCTTCCTGCCTCGTTCGTCGTCGAGCCACCCATATCTTGCATGCTCATCGCGATGCAACAACGATCCTTCTTCCGCACTCCTTCTTCGACTCCTTGCGTTCTCCCTCCGTCCCTTCCTGTTTCGCATCCACTTCCGGTTTTCGCCTAGAAACCCGCGAGAAAACGGTCCTCCGTGAATTACGATCTCGAAGAATTTCAGAGAAAATTCTCTCCCTCTTTTATTCTCCAGTTCACGCTTTCCAATCTTTTTTTTTTCTCTTTTTTTTTTTCAACTCGTCGAACGATCGAATTACTCCAAGTCTAACTCGATCTAACTGAATTACGGTGTTAACTCGACCAATCAGACTTTGGCTGGACGAAACACGCGCGTAGTTACGGTACAAGAATTACATTCGATTTTATTATACTAACTCCTCGAGAAATTTACTATCCGCGAATCAATACCACGACAAGGACTCGACCTTTATCCATCTAACGCGTTGAAAAAAAACGAGGTGTCCACGTCCTTTTTAAATTACAGGGTGCGGGATACCTGCCTCGAAGCAGACCGCGCAGAGAAGGATCGTGGGAGGGGACGACGCGGGGTTCGGCAGTTTTCCATGGCAGGTCAGATTTTCATCGATCGATTTTCGTGCGCATCTTTTTTTTCTTTTTTTTTTAAACAGAGAAAAAACTACTTCTACTTTCTTCAGGCGTACATACGAATCGGATCGAGCCGATGCGGCGGCACCCTCGTCAATCGATTCCACGTCGTGACTGCCGGCCACTGCGTAGCCAAGTAAGTCGAAACTCGATCCGTCCTCCCTAAATTTCATCCCTAATTTATCCTTGTTCAGGGCGTCGGCGCGCCAAGTCCAGGTCACCCTCGGCGATTACGTCGTCAATTCGGCAAGCGAGACACTGCCCGCTTACACTTTCGGCGTCAGGGAGATACGCGTTCATCCTTACTTCAAGTTCACGCCTCAGGCTGACAGGTAGGTTTGTAACGATTCCGATGGGATAAATCGAGGGGATGAAACCGAAATTTTTTTCAGATTCGACGTAGCCGTTCTTCGATTGGATCGACCGGTGCATTACATGCCTCACATAGCGCCGATCTGTTTGCCCGAGAAGAACGAGGATTTTTTGGGCCAGTATGGCTGGGCCGCTGGATGGGGCGCTTTGCAGGCTGGTAAATACAATATTTATTCGATGCGTTTGTTAAACATTGTTTGCGTCGAATTTGTTTTTAAAAAACGATCGAAATAACAGGATCGAGGCTACGCCCCAAAACTCTTCAAGCTGTGGACGTGCCCGTGATAGATAATCGGATATGCGAGAGGTGGCATCGATCAAACGGGATCAACGTGGTGATTTACGACGAAATGATGTGCGCTGGTTACCGGGGAGGTGGCAAGGACTCGTGCCAAGTAAGTGGCACTCGTCGAATCGAGTGAAAGAAGGAGGAAAAAATATATATTTTTCTCGTTTTGTAGGGTGACAGTGGTGGACCGTTGATGCTCGAGAAGACGGGGCGATGGTACTTGATAGGCATCGTTTCGGCGGGTTACTCGTGCGCGCAGCCAGGCCAGCCAGGAATCTATCATCGCGTGGCGAAAACGGTCGACTGGATAACCTACGTTATCAACTCGTAACGGAATAAACGAAACGAACGAAAGGAATATAGAGGAATCGTAAAAGCTTTGCATGAAACAAAGTTTACAATGTTACCACCGAGGAATACGCGCCGTATAATAAACAATTGTGACGTTGCGAACCGATTGTTAAAAGTCAGATGTTGCTCGTCTTCGAGGTTTGTTTCGTCGTGCGTCGATTTCTATTCGTGTACAATTCTTCCAAAAAGACGAGACGAGAGGCGATGTCGAATAGAAATTCTTTCGTCTCGAGTTCTTCTTTCACCGATTTAATCGAGTCCTTTGCGCCAAGAATTTTATCTTTTATCCTTTTCGACAAACGTAAACGGCGATGCGAAATTATATCACATGTTTGTAAATTAAGCGCGTGCGACTTCGCGTTTAATAAAACGTTTTTTTTTTTACTTTACTCGTTCGTCTTATTATCTTGAGGGAGGAGGATGAGGATGAAAGAAGAAAATCTTTTTACATTAAAAACATACTTTTGTTATTCGACAACCGATATAACTCAACGCAAGCATAATACGTTGCTTAATAGCAGGGCAACGTCTTTTTTTTTTTTATTTTATTTTTTTTATTTTTAAGTATGTGATTTTCATCGCGTATATAAGTACACATTTATTCTCGTTTATTCGTTTCAACGATAAGCATCCGCGACAACGAAATGTCAAACATCTGCGTTGTAGGATCGTAGGAGGCGTTGGCTCTCGAGGTTCGATTAAGTAAGATAATCTTGGGGATAAACTACGATATAGTTTCTCATCTTCGCACACCAACAAAAAAAAAAAAAAAAGAATTACGCTATGCTTCCCGCTTTCGCGACGAAATAATAAATAATTTTTCCGACGATCCTTCATTGATCGACGCTCGTCAACGAGCGTCATTTCCTTATTTTTGATAACAACTTGTTGGCATCGAGCCGACGAAAATCAGACTAGATATCGTTCAATCACTGAAAACAATCAAGAAAAGAGAAAAAAATAAAAAAAAGAAAAAAAAAAACGCTCGTCGTGAAAACGGGAAATGTATCAATTCCCTACCAGTTGTGTAATCTAATTTACAAAAAATTAATTTCGATTCATCCTGTCACATGGAGCTCGTATCCGTGTAGTATCATCTTTCATTTTAAGTAAATATCTTTAAAACCGCAGTGAAAAGAGACGGTGTTTAAACGCGAGAGTTCCCGAGAAAAAAAGGAAAAAAAGAAAAGAAAAAAAAAAAGAAAGAAAGAAAAAAGTATCTACCTATCTACGTCGTACGATCTGCGTCAAAAATCTGTTCTTCTTCCACGAGAAGAGGCTTAAACCCTGGCCTTAAACAGGGCGAGTTAAAATTCATCTTCTAAGTTAAATAAACTAACGATAATACTTTCTCGTTTGAGAGTGGTACGCTCGAATACTAATAAAGGAGGAGGACGAAGAAATATCGGGTCAAAAGGGACCCGATCGAGGTGCTCGATCGAGCATCGCCGGTTATCAAGCTGTCGTGAACGCCGCGGCATTCTAAATGCATTCTTGTGAACGATATTTATAGAGATTTATAGAGATCGTGTCGGGAATTCGCCAGTTTCGATCGGTGGATCGTGAATCACTTTCGATTCTGTTCTTGATTCTTAAATTACAATTACAATTTCTCGAACGGTTGTAACAATTGAAACAGTCTTGTCGTGTCGCAACATTGTCATGGGGCAACAAATGCACTGACAAATTGAGCGGAGATGCATCTCCGTGGCGATCCAATCCTAGAGAAGAAATCGTGCAGATACTTTGAACAACGAACCACGCCCTGTTCCTCGATTGCAGCTTGTTTGTTGAATCTATTTATTTCGCTCGTTGCTCAAAGTATCCGTGTGCTCGATTCGAATCCGAGGTGAATCGATTCGCTCCCTTCTATGACGGTAGAATATCGAGTTCAAGGACACTTTGTGTAGTGGGAGACAAGCCGTCTTCGCTTTTGTGCATCAAGATGTTTTTCAAATCCCTCAATTTCTGCGGTTGAAGAGCCATAGCCGAGTTTCTGGGCAAGGTCGCGATCGGATTGGTGCTGTGACTCTTGAACGGCTTTTCGTATCGATTGATCCCCTTCTCGGATTCCGAATTGTATCTTCTCTTCCCCGTTAGCTCCGTGTTCGGTTGCATCGCAACCGTGTCCCTGTCCTCGAAGCAGGGGACCGTTTGCATCGACATGGTGTTCCTGCGATCGTTGAACAAAGATCTGGGATTCAGGGTGACCTCTCTTGCCGAGCCGAAGTGCTTGAAATTCGCGCAGATGGGATTGTTCATGAGACTGGTGTCCGCCGGATGGCAGGGCTCGGGCACGCGTTTCTCGATCTTGATCTCGGTTACGTTCTGACGGATCAGAATGTCAGGCGCCGCTTCGGGCAACGGCTCCTGGGAGATCGGTGGCCATTTTAAGTCGCGCGCCATGTCACGGTCGATCGCGAGAAACTTTCGCCTTGATTTGTCTACGTTGTGCCAACGGTAGCGTAATTTCCTAAAAACGAGGTAGTCGACGAACACGTATTCCATCAGCAACGAGATCAAAAAGTTGGCGACGCCGTATCCGACCAGGATGAAACGAAAGCCAACATCGTCCGGAAGTATCAGCTCGAACCAGTTGCTCAGCCACTCGAAGGGGAAGGTAGCGAGGTAGACGGAGAAGAGGCTGAGAAGGATGAACGAGGTGAGCAGCCCGTAATTCGTGAACAGGGACTTTCTGTACGGATGACCCTTCGAGAACGTCACAGCCAGAATGATATACTGCATGGAACTGATTATGAAAACTGTGTAATTTTCCGTGCAGCTCACGTCGTCTTTGTTCTCGGCCGCTTTGAGCGTGGCGTTGAACGGCACGAACCACTCCATCTGCTCGAGGTGCCACAGACTGACGGATTGAAACAATGCCACGATCAAAATTTGGGTCACCAGGCTGAGAATGGGAGTGGTACTGATAAGACTGTTGAGTGGAGCTGTCTTGACCAGGGGTCCATCGTAGGCTTCGGTACGGCCAAAGAAGAATGCGAAGATCGAGATGATGAAGAGATCGATGTAGAGGAACTCGATATCCGTTAGATTCGACTCGATACCGTACAGCAACATCACGGAGATGAACTGAGTGAGCGAGTAGCTCGCCATGTATTTGAAAATTCCGAAAGAAGTGACCAGGGCTGCGCGGCCTTCGCGAATCACGGTAAGTACGCAGGAAATGTTGGTTTCGCGGCTGGTGAAGGGCGATGCTACCGAGGATTCGGTGTCGGAGAGAGAAATCCCGGTATGGGCTGCCTTCAGAGCTCCGCAATCGTTTGCCCCATCGCCTACCATGGCTGGAAATCATTTTTTTTGAAAACTCGACATTCTGATCGAAATTGAATCGAAATTACCTGAAATTAGAGGAAATGGAGTCACTTACCAACATAGTATCCCAAAGATTGCAATTCCTGGACGAGTTGTTGCTTCTGGTCCGGCGACATTCTTGCGAAAATTGCTCCACGCGTGACAAGTTTGGGAATCAGTTCCGGATAATATTGTTTGACTAGTGCCCATGTTTTGCCCGTGAGTGCAAACACGTATTTATTTTGCGAATGTTGCAAGCTGAAACGGAGGACAAACGTTAAAAACCGGGTGAATTACGTTATATACGCTTGGACAGATTTGACGAACTTACTCGTCGGATAAATAATTGATATCGTTTTCATACTTGTTCCCAAAGCCACTCTCAATCGTTTCCAAGCTAGCAACACTGTTCAGATCGGTCATTTCGCTAAGATCCGCGTGCGTTGTTGATGGTTCACTGTTGCTCTTCGTGAAGTAGATCTGTGGCTTCATCTGATTCTGTTGAGTGGCAGAGACTGCGATAACGGGTGTACCTGGTTTCACGATATCACAATCTCTGGCGACTGACAGTGCAGTCAGCATGTTGTCGCCGGTCACCATAACGGTTTTTATACAGGCAGTATTTAGAGCACTGATCACAGGTGTAGTTTCCGGCTTCAATCTATTTTCCATGATCACGAACGCTAAGAACGTAAGATCGGACTCGGCGGATTCGCGACTCAATCGTTGAACCTTGGCGTAAGGAAGACGGTTCAAAGATTTGTGCGCGAGGCCGATTACGCGGTAACCTTCCGAAGTATAATCTTGCAACACGGTGCCAAAGTCTGGTGGAACTGTGAAAAACAACGTGATTAAATTGTAATTTGAAAAAAGAAAAAAAAAAACAAATATTTTTTTTAAACACAACATTTGTCGTTTGTTTGCAACACTTACTGGATTCTGCTCTGGAAAGGCTGAGTATCATTTCTGGGCTGCCTTTGCAATATAGATCGTAATGATTAGCTCCCAACGTCCTCGTTATCACGCTCATCCTCTGAAGACTAGACGTGAACGGAAATTGACGAACGATTCCAATTTCTAAACCTTGCTCCCCCAACTCCGTCGTGGAACCAGCCAACGTGGTATCGAGGTTGTTCAACGAGATGTTATCCATCACGTCCGAAGACATGGAGTTTTGCCGGCTGAGCGATATTCTTATCTCGGTGGGTAGTTTCTTCAGCAGCTTGGAGCCCTTCGGCGGCCGTACTATCGTAGGAAAAAGCATAGAGAATTTCGACGTATCGGACACATCGGGTTCCTCCAACGTCCAGCCAGTAGACTCGAACATTTTTAAGTCAAGCGGATCACCCACGGGTTGATTCTCTATTATAGTGATTCCGTGACACGTTACCATTCCGATTAGAAGATCGTTCAGGGGCAAAGACGCGATGTCTTTAACGGGTGGCTGGAACTTCCTATCGACGGAGGATACCACGCCCCACATGTCGAGGCCATCCTCAGTCAGTGTCCCGGTTTTGTCGAAACAAATGCAATCGATCGATCCCGATACATTGATGGTTCGTGGACTCGTACAGTAAATCTTGTTCTTCTCGAGTCTTCTCTGCGCTACTAAACGGCCAACGGTCATAGCCGCCGGCAGGGCTGGAGGTACTACTATGGTGATCAGATCCAACGCCTCTAGAGCGATGTGGTTGCTAGGGACACCTCTAATAGCCTTTGTCACGATGGTGTAAATCACGCCAATACTAGCTATGCCGGCCAACAAGATTACGAACTTGTACGAATCTTGTTCGAATTTGAAATCCACAGGTGGAGGATACATGATCGATCTGACCAAACCACCTTTACTGGTATTGAATCCCGTTCTAACAACCACGGCTAATACCTGTAAAAGAAAATTACACGATAATTTTGTCTATTTGATGATCAATAGAAATATTATTCAGAATTCGAATATTCCAAAAGTTACCTTTTCCGATCCATAGTATCTGGTTTGAATAACTTTGGTACCGCAAAAAAGAGTGTGTCTTGCGTGCTCCTTGGTGTCGTATATCACCTCGTTGGACGAAGGAATAGGCGTTTTCGTAACAGGAACCGATTCTCCGGTTAACATGGATTCGTTCAGAATGCAATTTCCAGTGAGAAGTACCGCGTCGCAAGGCATCAAACAACCGTGAGAGGGAATAACCAAAATGTCACCAGGTACCAATTTTTCAGCAGGCACGGTCGCTGTTTGCCCAGTCGTGCGATCTCTTATCACCGTGGCCACATCGGAAGAGTGTACAGTGGATCGCAAGTTATGTTGATTCTGCAAATCGAGCCTTGATCATCGATACAATTTAAGAGATTAAGACAGTTGAGTGAATAGAAAATCGCGTACTCGACGAGTCTGGAAGACTGCCATGATTATACCAATGCTGGACATGGTCAAGATAACCATGGCATAGTAATAATAATTGTCGGCAACCCAGAGACCGAAGCTGAACAGTTGGAAGACGTAGAATGGATTCAAAACCTCGAGACAAAGCAAAGTTAGAATACTTTTTACTGGAATCACGATTTCATTGTTTCCATAAACGCTGCGTCTGTAAGAAAACAAAGAAATATCGTTTAAGAACAAAATGTTGCGTAATAAGAATCGATCATTTTCATAATAATTTCTCTAAATATTTGCCTCATGTGTTGCTCAAGTGAATTCAATCCTTGCATTTGATGCAACGTGGAAGTCAGAACACCGGCGTCCAAACCTCGAAGCTTGAGAAATTCGGATCTCTCGGGGTCCCAAACGTAAGTTAACTTTTTGCAATGGAAAAGAACGATCGAAGATACCTCTGTGAAACATTAAAAATATTATCGTTAATCAATTTTTTTTATATATAAAAGAAAAATCCTTTCTTTTAAACATTGAATTCTTACGTTTAAATTGTCCACCGATTAAATGCAACGACAGTCTCGGATATTCTTCTTTTACTTCCTTGATAGTTATCATACTGCCGTTCTCCATCCAAGGTTCGTTATCCAATAATGACTTTCCATCGAACGGTTTGCTTCTTTAAATATGCAAAAAAAAAAAAAACAAAAAAAATTAATATTTGAGATATTAATAAAAATAAAATATCGTTGTTCGGATAGGGATACAATATTATAATCTCGTAAGGAAAAACTAGAGGATAATTACAATATATCTTCAGCGGCCAAAGTCTTTAATTTTTTCACATGATAGCTCGTATGCTTTCCTTGAAATCTCTCCACCAGTAAAACAGTGTCTGCAGTTTCTAATTGACATTTGGAATGAGTCGCGAGTAACATCAAGTGTGGTATCCAATGAAAGACTAATCTAAGAAGGCCTCCGGTGATTATAATCAAGAACCATGTAATGACGGTAAAAATTTTGTTCCTTTTGTAGCTGGAAAAATTAGAAAAACGTATTATATTTAAGAATATATTGATAACATTGATCGACGCGATATGACGCGATGATGCTTACCCATAAATTTCCATTTGATCTTCCTCACCAGGATTGATGTAATCGATGCCATTCTTTAGATGAAGTATACCATTACTCTTGGTACCTAAAATAGCACAATACCCAACTAATTAGATCGATATTATTGACGACGGGTGAAGAAATTTTATAGAAATAATTGGATGAGATAAATTGGATCGTGGCAACGTGTAATACTCGTGATCATTGATTGAATGAAATATCGATTGAATGGTGCGATTATTTATGGAAGACGGTTTGATTCGAAAGGATCGTCAAGGACGATAAGATGGAATCGTTGCCAAATAATTTGAGGTGAGTAATTAGGCGATGATCCAAGCTCCTTACCCTCTAAGAGTTCCGTTTTCTGCTCGCGCTGATGGTCAGTAGTGGTATTGGTACCGCGCGCTCCAAACACGTTGTACGCGTTTCTGGCAAAGCTCAAGTTCAATTTATTCGGAGTGGGCGGCATGATGATGATCGCAGGAAAAGGAGCAGGAGTTAAATACGAATCTTACGTATATCTATCTATATATGTATATATATACGTAAACGCACGTATCTATTTATATATACACATATATATGTATATATATATATATATATGTTTTCTCTTTCTTTTTTTTTTTTTTTTTTTTTTTTTTTTTTT